CTTGAGAGCCAAATAGACTTTCTGATATTAGAGATTTCGGTCGTGAATTAAAGATGGGGACAATAATATAAAATACTTCTACGTTATTGTTAACTCTAGAACGAGGTCAAATAACATGGATGGGAACTCTTTCCCAGGTATTTCGGAAGGGGACCGAGAAGGAAGAGAGAACTACACAGTCAACTTTAAGGAAGTGCTGATGAATTTTCCATGTATGATCTCCCCTTTAAGCTCTTTGATGCGGCTAGTGTGGAGTCATTAGAAAAGCCCTTCCATATTGACGAAATCATAAAGGTTGTATTCTTTTTACCCAGAGATAAGGCCCCTGGCCCTAATGGATTCCAAGTGGCAATTTTCCAAGAATCGTGGAACTTGGTCAAGAACGATTTGAAGATATTATTTGACGAATTCTTCCAAGATGCTACGGTTAATAAGACTTTGAACTCCACCTTCATTGTTTTAGTTCCTAAGGAAACACATTCGGAATCCCTTGACTTCAGGCCCATCAGCCTTCTGAATTCGTCTTATAAATTCCTCTCTAAGGTTCTAGCCAATAGATTGAAGGCAATTATCTTCTCTATTGTTCAAGGTCCCCAATCGACATTTATCAAATGGAGGCAGATCATTGACGGTATCTTGATTGCACAAGAGGTGATACATTATACTAGGCTTTCTGGAGAATCAAGTATCCTGTGCAAATTGGATTTTGAGAAAGCTTATGATCAAGTGGACTGAGACTACGTGGATGAGATGATGAGGTTAAAGGGACTTGGGACTAGATGGAGAAGATAGATCAGAGGTTGCCTGGTCTCAGCTCACTTCTCAGTGATCATCAATGGTAAAGCTTGTGGTTACTTTTGTGCTACTAGAGGTGGTCGTCAAGGAGACCCCCTGTCCCCATTCCTATTCACCTTGGTTGGAGAATTGTTTAGCTTGATGAAATCAACAATGGATAAGAACGCTATTCAAGGGATCAAGATTCAGGGATATGATAAGCAAATCTCGCACCTGCAGTACGTTGATGACACCTTGCTTTTGACCAGAGCTTCCCTATAACAGATTCAACAAGTTTGGCTTTTTCTAAGGTTCTGTGAGTTAATTTTGAGACGTAAGGTGAACCTTTCCAAATCTAAGCTTATTAGGGTTAATTGCCACACTGTGGAACTTAGAGACTAGGCTGCCTGACTAGGTTGTGAAGCACAAGATTTCCCAACAAAATACATTGGTGTTCCATTGGCTGATGGTAGGTTGCCAATCTCAACTTAGGATAACGTCATTCGGAAGGCAGAATACAAATTAGATGGATGGAAGAGCAGATACCTATCTTTTGGGGGTACAATTACCCTAATTAACTATACTTTGACCAGCTTCCTAGTCTATTTTCTCTCTCTTTTCCGAGCCCCTGCCTCGGTGTTGAAGAAATTAGAGCTCTTGATGAGAAACTTTATGCGGAGCTCCTCACAGGAACAATGTAAATACAACTTGGTAAGATGGGAGCAAGTGTGCATACCTAAGCGAGAAGGGGATTTAACCATCAGGAGATTGAAACACTTTAATTATGCGTTATTAACCAAGTGGTGGTGGAGGGTGGCATAAGAACCATGGAGTGACAACATATTATTCTTTCCAAATATGGGACAGATGAGACACGTCTTCTACTTAAGAAATTGTCAGTAAGCAGATATTCGCCCTTTATATGGAAAGGAATTAACTCTGTGAGGAATCTGTTTAAGACTTATGTTCGGATGAAGGTGGGAGATGGGAGATCAGCTATGTTGTAGTTAATGAAATGGATCGAGGATACTACCCTAAAACTTACTTTCCCTTAGCTTTATACTCTGTCGGATACCAAGAATAAATGCATTCCTAAGATGGTCTAGGGTTAGGGTAAGAATTGTGCATGGAATGTTCCCCTGCGTAACCGTAGGATTGATGCTATCTCTGAATAGCAGTTCATCTCCCTCCTACAGCTGCTCCATTTTGTAGTTATTACCCCAGGAGAAGAGACTCTTTCATATGGGAGCTATCGACTAATGATGCATTCTCAATGAAATCTCTTTATGCTGAAATGTGCAATGACATGATATTGCAGAACTCGAACGGACATACTAAGGTATGGTCTGTTAACGCTCCTAAGAGAGTTATTGTGTTTTTATGACTGCTAGAACAAGATAGAGTTTTAACTAGGGAACAATTAAGGAAGAGGGGGAAAATTCTGATAGACATTTGTATCCTTTGTAAGTCGGAGTCTGAGAGCAGCAATAACCATTTCTTGCACTATCTGTTCTCTTATTCTATATGGTGTTGGATGACTTCCATATTGAATTGGAAATGGGTAATACCCCAACGTATTTAACAGGTTTTCAACATGATTCTTAACCCCCCTTTCCCTATGATGGGTATTCTTTTATGGAGGTCGGTGGTAGTAGTGGTCTTGTGGCTCATTTGGAAAGAGAGGAATGTAAGGATTTATGAAGGGAAATCTCATGAGTTCCATTCATTTTAGATCAGGTTATCCGAGGACCACACAATGGGTTCAGATTCTATCGAAGTTTAATCTATACCCCAAATATTGCTTTGCTTCAAGTTTCCCTGAATTACTGAAACATCATCCCTTAAAGAAAGCCATGTCAGCTGCTTGGCAACCACCTCCACTGGGGTGGCTCAAACTAAATTTTGATGGAAGTGTTTGACCAGTTGAGGGTGTAGCGAGTTCTGACGGCCTTCTTAGGAACCATCTTGGAGATGCTATTTTTCACTTAGAGTGATGATCCTCACTACTGTGATATTAATGAAATTGAGCTTCATGCTGTTAACGAAGGGGTCAGCAGGCTTCAGGGTTGTCACTCTAAAGTGATTGTTGAAGGCGACTTGGCGAACGATATTTAATGGTGCAAACATCCTTGCAAGGTGCCTTAGCTCTAGACTGATGTCATGGATGATATTCTAATAGCCATTATTGGCAAAGACATAGTCTTTTACCATGTTAATCATGAAAAAAATGGTGTGGCTGATGCTCTTGCTAGATCTGGCCCCTAGGCCCTGGTAGGTCTCTCCCCCCCTCTCTCCCTCCTCTCTTCTATGTTCTCCCTTCTTTTCGTCTTTGTTACGCTCTTTGTAACACTTTGTAATCTTGAACTCTGGCTCCTATTAATGAATCTAAGTTAACGACAAAAAAAAAAAAAAACCTCTAAAAATGCATTTCGGTTTTAGAAGATCAAAAGTAGCAATGAGATGTAATGATTTGTGGAAAATATTTGTCTTCGGTTTTTTACATTTATGACAGTGATGGTCGAGATTATTCATCTCTGGAATGGATTTTGGAAGGGTAGTGCATTTAACTAGTGCACAAATTTATAATCGAGATTATTCATCTCTGGAATGGATTTTAGAAGGCTAGTGCATTTAACTAGTGCACAAATTTATAATTTAAAGCACCACGGTCAATTTTGAAAAAAAAAAAAGAATTTTGAGTTTTAAATTTATTTTACTTTTTTTTTTTTAAAATACTGCTTTTAACTCTGATTTGCAATGTATTTTGAGTATATGAATACGAAACATAAATAAAATTCCACTGACTTTGGGATTAATTTGGGGTTCTAAATCCTTTGAAAGCCAAGGTTCATTATGATTTGGCTCACTCACCGAGGGCTTTTTTGGCTTAAATAATGCAGGGTAGGTGAATCCAAGCACATAACTATTATGATGTATCCAAGGGCAACCTCTTTATCTAGATTGAAATTAGGGAGATATTTATTTAGAAAATAATTACTTAAAAATAATTTTGAGTTTTTTTTTTTAGTTAATTCAATGGAGAATACAAACCCCTGCCCATTTTTTATTTTCAAGCTGTCAGTAGAAATGAAAGCCTCAACGTGTAACTGAGGTATAGGTGTTCTACCACCGTCAGCTAAATGAGCGATATATATGGCATACTTGTTTTTATTTTTCTATATAACTTCAATTATTTGTTTTTTTGTTTTTTGATCAAGATGGCCTAGATGAAATTTACATATATGCAAATTTTGAATCTAATATGATTTAGAATAGTGTACTAGTTGGCACTAAAGATTATACTTTACCTCGTTCAAGGTTCGAATCCCCCGCCATTTACCTTATTTTTATAAGCTTTCGGGTCGTTGTTTGGACTATAGCCCATATTTATCGCGAGGCCAATATGGTGACCGATATTCTTGTAAAGAAAGCCACAACTTTATCAGATGCTACTGTTTGGCGATCTAGACCATCAGATTTTCTCTCTATTATGCTACTTTATGATATGGTACAATTGCCATATTCTAAGGTTGTAAACTTGTAACAAGTACTTTTTTTTCATTGTTAATAAAAAAATAGGTAGGGACTTTCTCCCCCATTGACTTACCCAAATAAATTAATATTGAATTTAACAACCCCATATTTTCTTAAGGGTCTTACACCACGATTGAAGCCTAATATATGCCAAAACACAAAACGTGGGGAAGATTTTTTTATCATGTGGATGGTGGAAAGGTACACAATCACTTTTACAACGGTTCAAATTGAACAATGGAAAGGTGTACAAGTATCTTTAGAATAGTTCAGATCGAGAATAGCCTGGACCTTGGCAGTAGTATTATCAAGCTCCATGATATGGTATATGTTTTTGTTATTATCAAATGATAGGGTCCAAATCTCCACTGACTTACTATTTTTTTTATTTGTTTTTTTTAAAAAAGAACAAGTCACTAAAAAGGGGTATTTGGAAATTAAAAAACAAAAAAACCTTAAATTTAAAAAGACGAACACCTTACATATGCTAATTGTGAAAGAGTCAGGTGAAAATTTCCAATAAAATATGTGACGATACTTTTTTGTCAACAAAATTAGTGAAAATCTTCCCTAAAAATCAAGCTCCTACTTCTAGACAAGACATTATGAAGTGTTCAGTAGGTTAAAAGTTAATCATCCTGCATATTCCACACCGGTCCTCAAAAGAAATCAGGGACCATTTGGTAATTATTCCCACAGCATCAAACCCTAACTTCATTTCCAAAGAAGAGCAAAGAAAGGGTGAGAGAAAAACCCTAGTCCTTGAGCTGCAATTCTAGCAAAGTGAAGCTCTATTTTCAAAACCCCTTGCCTCTTCTTCACATGATAAAACCCTGAGTCTCATAAACCCTAATCTCAATCTCGTCTTTCTCTCAGAAAAAATGGAAATAATGACCTTGAAAATCTAAGATCCACTCATTGTCTCCAATCTCTCAAGTCAAATCCTAACCCTAATCGTCCATTTCCAGGCCAGAAAAGAGGAACGGGGAACCTAAAACCCTAGCTCAGATCTCCATTTTCAATCAACAGAAAGAAACCCTAAAATGTCTGCTATTCATCTTCGTCGCCAAGCTTTGATCCATGTTCGTTGCCTCTGCAGCTCTGCAACTTCTTCTGAGAAACCCAAAGCCCTAACTTTCAACTATGCAAGGTCGAGGATTTCCCGAACGCAAGACCTTGATGAGGTAATAGATATTTTCAATTCAGTTCGTGAGCTCCCAAATGTTGCAGGTTCTCGTTTTGTGCAAGATATTGTGGTTCACCGCCTTATCAGTGCTGAGCGTTTCTCTGATATAGAAACCCTACTCGAGAACCAGAAGATGCATCCTAATATCAAGCTCGAATCCTTCACAACTAGTTTGATTATCTGTTATGGTAAGGCTAAAATGGTTGATCGAGCCATTAAAACGTATCAACAGATGGACGACCATGGAACTCCTCGCACAGTGACTTCTTTTAATGCCCTGTTAACCGCTTGCAGAGAAGCCGGAGAATTCAATAAGGTAACAGAACTCTTTGCTGAAATCCCGGCGAAATTTGGCTTGACCCCCACTCAAGTTAGCTATGGGATCTTAATCAAGTCAATTTGTGAGATGGGTTCTCCCGATAAAGCTTACGAGATACTCAAGGACATGAAGGAAAAGGATGTGAAGATCAACACTGTCATATACACCACTCTTATTGATGCTTTCTATAAGAACCAAAAACCCGAGGAAGCTAGGAAAGTTTGGGAAGAAATGGTGAAAATGGGTTGTTCACCTGACCGTCCTGCTTATAATTCCAGGCTTCTTTATGTGGCCAATCATGGCAATCTTGAAGAAGCTCTGAAGATTATCGAAGAAATGGAGGCATCAGAGCTCAAACCTGATGCCCCCACTTACACTTTCCTCTTGTCTTGTTACTGCAAAAATGGTAAAGGGGAAGAGGCAAAGAAGGTTTATGAAACAATGGTTGCTAAGGCTTGTTACCCAACTGTCCAGACATATAGGATTTATGTGAACCATTTGTGTGAAAACGCCAAGTATGATCTGGGTCTTGAAATTTTCATGGAGAGTGTTAAGAGGAATAGGGTTCCTCCTTTTAAGACTGCAACACTTTTACTTGAGGGGCTTGCAAAGAATGGTAAAGTGGATGAAGCAAAGGAGCTTATCAAGACGGTGAAGAATCGGTATGCGCCCAATATGTCCACCTCATGGGTGAAGCTTGAGGCAGAGCTCGGATTGAGCAAGAGCGATTGATCATTAGTTGAGGAATCTATGAAGGATGTGTTTATTGACAATCATGAAGGTAAATTTGCTTTAAGTTTGGAACTGGTGGGACAGTTTTAAAGTCATGGGGTTCATTACAGTTTCCATAATTCATAGCTATATGCAGTTGAATTATTGTCCTCTTATTTTAAATTCATGAAATTTCAAATTTCAGAGTTTTTGTTACAGTCTCTGTTATTCATAATATTTATATGCAGTTGAGTTCTTGTCCTCTTACTTCAAAGGCGTGAAATTTCAAATTTTGAAGTTTTTTTGTTCATACATTTTGTAAGAGTTCGGTCGAAGTTTGGTACTTATATCTGGAAACCTTGGACCAATTGCTTTATAGATCATATTATCATTCCATTGATACGATGGTCATACTTTTTCTTGGTACACCTGCATCATGAGATTTTTTTTTTGGTCATATTTTTTCCAGAAGTCTAGTCTTTGTCCTAGATACTAATCATGATTCTCATTAAAATTTGTAGTATTCTTGCAAGAGGAAGGGTTTCTTTGAAAATTAAAGAGGCAGTTAAATCTTCTGCATAGAGCAAACATGAATCACCTTAAATTTTTTTTTTTAAGATTTCCTTGAAAATATTTTTCTTGGCAATGAAAACAAAGGGCCGGCATATTCCCGTCATCAATGTTCCATTGCCAACTGAAAGCCTCCCCGAAGGCAAAGCAATGATATGGTGATAGAGGGTCACCTACCTAAAAGGGCCGGAAGTATCTGAAAGCAGTTGATGCATATTGTCATATACAGTTTCTGCAGTTTTTATATCACTGTCTCATACATCAATCTCCTAATTGTGAAGCTAATCAATTTGTCTTAGAAATGGTTAATGGTTATTTCATTCCAAGAAGGAAAAAAGTGATATGATGGTTAGTCTTCTCTGTGAAACCTTGATCCTCTGGCTTGTGGCCAAGAAAGGGGAAGTCGTTAAAGGCCTTTGTCAAAAAAAGGAGAATCCTTTTAACAGTTGGAAGGAGTACTTAGGGAAGGGATTTCTTATTGGTTTACTTACACACAGTTAAGGGAAGGGCTAGACGTCATTTCCCAAAAAGAAAAAGAGTTAAAAGGTTAGATCAGCATATACAGCTGTTTTGGAAGAAGAATTCCTTGTAGAATAAATTTACAGATTGGGTCAGGATCTGTTTTAACCAGTGTTGCCCGGTTCGATTTGGAAATCGCAAAAAGTGGATCGTATCGGCTAAAAAATCGGAAATCGTCCGGTTCTAGAGAGAACCGGACGATTATGTACAGGGATTCGCCGATTCCGTACAGTGAATCGGCGAGTCTCGTACGGTATTTTTTTTTTTTTTTTTTTTTTTTTTT